AGTGTTAGGATAGCTAAGTACAATTTATGATAAATACTAATTGACTAAATATTGCACATAACTTATTAAAAAAGTGTAACTTTTAATAATATATCGTTTATATATAGAAGATAACGAGATCTTATGACAAATGAGGTAAGATGTTCAAATTAATTTCATAATTAAGATGCTTTACATGAACAAGAGATCCAAGCATTTATCCATTTCTATAATCAAAAGCTCAATATGTAAGCAAAACAAAGTTTTCTTCAAGCAGTATCATGGAAGCATTCGAGCATCCAATATGGACTAGAAGTATCATATCGAACACATATCTAATATGGACACAAGCAATTTCAAGTATCTGTGCTCATTAACCAAGACAGAACACCATTTTGGGGATAATTTTCTACTTTTTGTTTTTCAGTACAATTTTCTGTTTTGAGATTTTTGGAAGAAAAAAACGTAACGAAAATGAAAAATTAATGAACCATAGGAATTTTTATCCCTCTCGAAAGTCAGATAAACCCATCTTACATTTATCTCTTTCTTTGCCAACTTATGTTCAATTTTTTCTATCAATCAATTTGATTTCCTTTATCAAAATTAGGACAACACAAAGAAATATAAAAGTTTTTTCATTCTTTCTTAGAGACATGATATTGTTTGATTAATTTGTGATTTTGCAGATTTTGAATTATTCATTTGGATGGTAAAGTTTGGTTCTCTTTGGCGTTTACATAGTTCTTTCTGACTGTTGTATAATTTGAACTTATCTTTTCCTCATCATAATAGGCAAAATACTTGTACGGAAACCAATTCTCTCCTGAAGAAATGCAAAATATGAAGCTTATGATTCAAAGCAGCCTATACAGATACCTTAGCACTTTGCTTGAAGGACGTGAGCATTTTGAAGATGAGGCTTTAGAGGGGAAAAGAGCTGGTTCACTGCATTATAATGCATCCGCTAATGGTCTAGGTAACATATCATCTGCTAATGGTGTCACTAATTGATCTTTACATGGTCTTCTTGTGAGTAGAAGTTTATGCCATCCTATCAGAATTTTCAAGAGGTGTTGTTACAAGTTACAACTGCTTTTGACCTTGATTATTGACAATGATCTTCGTCTCCTTTTAGTTTGATATTATGTTTAGATTTCCATAGTTTCCTTTATCTCATTATCGTTTTCTACAATTTACTAACTGTAAATTATTCATTGTAAAATGAATTCAGGTGGAAGTGAAGCACAAAAACATAATGAGTGTGTATACTCGATCAACCAACGATTAAAACATTTTTCTGATTGGCTGCTTCAGATTATGGCTATGGGTGATCTAGATGCCTTTTTTCCTGCTGCAACTCGTGAATATGCACCTGTAGTGGAGGAGGCTTGGAAGCATCCTGCAATTCAAGAGACATATAAGAGAAGAAATGAATTACATTTTCTTCCTGATGTAGCCAGCTACTTTCTAGATCGGGTATTTATTGTGTTTTGATGTTGAAATCATTTTATTTTGTGTCCTAACCTGTTTTAACTTCACATGTTGTATGATTTATTTAAATGTGTTATAATTCTGAAGACAATACTTTCTGGTGCCCTTTTGCAAGTAGTGTATATTCAAACAACATATAACTGGTAGTTTCCAAAATCACATTAATTTGAGAAAGTTACATAGAAGGTGCAAATTCATGTGTATTTGATGATGTATGTTGTGTTCCTAATTAGGTATAGGTATCATGGTTTGCCATGTCAACTGGCACAAGCCAGCATGTATAATGCCCACACCAGTTGTGTCTAATACATGCCGATCAATTTTTAGCCTCTGTTGAATGTCACAGGGGTGCTAATCAATACAACATGGTTTTTCAGCAATGAAGTAATTTGCTATTTTTATCTAGATTTTTGCATCCTTGTTATGGAGGTAGAAATCTATAATTTTGCTTTGGAGGTTTGTCCCTTTTCATGATCATGAATAATTTTCATTTTTCAGGGCTCAGGCAAATGATTTCTAACAAATCACTGGTATTTGGACAAAATATAGTTTCCTAACTGAACTGTGTTTGCTTGTGCAGGCTGTAGAAATATCTAGCAATGAGTATGAACCTACTGAGAAAGACATCCTATATGCCGAAGGATTTAGCCGGTGCAATGGCCTTGCTTTTATTGAGTTTTCTTTGGATGATAGGAGTCAAATCTCTCAGCATATTGAATGCCCGCATCCCCAAACAAAGTAAGCAATCTGTTCTCAATGCCCATATATTTGTTGACCACCTAATTCCAAAAGCAATAAGCTGCTGTTCCCAATAATTCATGCAAGCTCTCTATATTTTTTCCATGGTATAGCTTTACGGGAGTAACATCAGCAGATGATTTGAGGACCATTATGTTGTTTTATAATGTTTCTACCTAAATCTTCTTTTGTCTTTCTTCACATGGCATCTCTTATGTGAATTGACTCACTTCCTCGTACTGATGTATGTCATTTGGATATATCTCCATGCTGTGTTAAATGATTTCATTTATCAATTTGTTCTTCAATGGTATGTATCTAGAAAATTAAATTGCCTGTAGGCATATAAGTTCATCTGTTGGAGGTCTTTAGTTTTTTAGTTGGATGATGCATCAATTCACATAATCTTGTTCTTGATAGGTTCCAAATTCACTGTTTCAGGTACCAGCTGATTCGTGTAAATACCAGAGGGTTAAATGAAGGCTGCAAGTTGCTTGAAATGTTTGAAGATGTCCGTGCCATCGTTTTCTGTGTTTCTCTTAGTGACTATGACCAGATGTGGCCTCAAAGCTCAGGTGAATTGTGCAACAAAATGATGGCAAGCAAAGACCTCTTTGAGAGTGTAGTGAACCACTCTTCTTTTAGGGAAACACCTTTTGTTCTTCTTCTGAACAAGTATGATGCCTTTGAAGAGAAGATCAGCAAGGTGCCTTTAACAGTTTGTGAGTGGTTTGCAGACTTCAGTCCTGTGAAGGCACGCGATACCAACCAATCTCTTGCTAACCATGCTTACTACTACATCGCAGTGAAGTTTAAGGATCTCTATGCCTCTATCAGCAATCGGAAACTGTTTGTCTTTCAGATGAAGGCACGTGAACGGGCCACTGTCCATGAGGGATTCAAGTACATTCAAGAGGTCCTGAAGTGGGATGATGTGAAGGATGAAAATGTTTATGGAATCCTAGATGAGTCATTTTACAGTACGGACATTAGCTCTTCCCCCTTCTTCAAATAGGAGTGATTCTGTCCGGGGATCTAGCTAGTCTTGCTTTGATGTATGTGCTATTCTTTGGGTTGTTTGTTGTGATTCTGCTTCTGCAAATAAGTTCAATGTTTTGACTACTGAAATTGAACTGAGCATCTTCTGAAGTTGACTGGTGATGGAGCTTATTGTAGAAGGTTATCCAATTAATATTGCTGTGTGGAAGAAAAAACATATTCTTAGGTGGGCATGTGAGCAGACAAAGATTGCTCCTGCTGTTGTTCTGTAGCAGAATATTGCCTCTGGATCATACAACTCACAGTCTATGAACTCAAACCTAATCATTCAACATCACCCAATGCTCTAGTGGAAGAAGCTCAGTGACAAGATTGTTCTCAGGAGTTCTTAAATACTGCAAAGTGGCTGGTCCTCTGTAAATCTACATTTGCTGCAACTTGTTCTGATCATGAATTTATTTGTGGACTTGATTGAAGAAAAGAATGCTTTTGAGAGTCGATAATTTGTTGTTTTTTATTTTTGTTATTTTGTTTCTTCGACTGCAATTCACAACCAAAGAGTTGTGTGCATATGACCTCTTGACCATACACTTGTCTACACTTGTTATAGTTCTGTGATAGTATGCTATTGCGAATGAAATGGAACAAAGGCATTCACAGAGGCTCTTCCTTCTCTTTGCAGGTTGTCAATGGAGACAAAAGGAGATGATGCTAAGCGGGTTTCTCATCTGCTGTGGGTTGGGAAGGCTCCGGAGATACGAGGTACGCGTACAGCATATCACCTAGTTGGATAAAATGGCCTAGAGAACTTGCTTGCGCTTACGGAATCATCCGGTAACTACTTGTTTATTCGGACTCGCAGTGACCGGACTCCGCGTGATGTTGAAGGTCCCAGAACTGCGGTACGCTTACAGCCTAACACCGCTTCGTCGGATAGAGAAATTTTGGCTTCCAAAAATATCTAACACGCAAAAGCTTATTCTCAGAGTGGTGACAAGACTCCAGATGACGGAGAAGGTAAGCTATAAACACGACTCGGTTTACTTACAGCTTGTCACTTGGTTAGTCAAAATGGCCAAAGAGATCTTTCTGCTTCGGAACCACCGCGTTTGCCGGCGGTGAGGAGACCCCAGCTGGCGTTGAAGGAAGACTCGATCACCGGGTGTGTTTACGAACTGCAGTAAGTGCCCGTGTCACGACTTGGTTGCGGGTTAAGTCACGATTCGAGTGTGATGCACGTGTACCTCCACGTCCTCTAATCGTGATGTACGTCGCATCTAATGATGGATCGATGAGTGATATGCCACCCGATATGAATCAAACCCGCAACCGCACCCACGAAAGCCTTTGTTCTTTGTGTTGAAGCTCTTTCTGGATTCCTTTCTGGGTTACTGTTTTAGGTGATAGAAATGAGAAGGGAAGCCCGGGTACGAAATATGTCTTGGCCATATCAGGGTTCAGGATTCACCAGCGAGCCAACAAAAAAAGGCCAAAACACCAAGTGGCGTATTCCGCAGCGGCCAAATCGACAACCTTAGAGCCCCCGAGGAAATGACGTGGCACGAGGTTTCGGTCCTATAAGTTGGAGAAAACCTGGATCCTGTGTTGGGGGTTTCAGAAGACGGAGGAAGCGTCCTCGCTCCACTCCATGTGCTTTTCTTCTTTCTTTGCGTCTCTCTCTCTCTACTCTTCTCTCTTCCATGTGCTCCTCGTCACCTTCTTCTTCTTCTTTGCGTTTCTCTCTCCTCTTCTCTCTTCCATGTGCTCCTCGTCACCTTCTTCTTCTTCTTCTTCTTCTTCTTCTTCATCCTCCTCCTCCTGCACACATTTGTTTCACCTGCTCGCTCGCTGTACAAGCCATGGTCTGCTGCTTCCTTCGCTACCTACTGCTGATGACGCTGCTTCTCGCCGTCGCCGGGTCCGACACCGACCCGGGAGACTTAGCCGCCATGCAGGTCATCGCCGCCGGCCTGGGAGCTAACCTCTCCCCCTCTCTAGCCTGGTCCCCCTCCGCCGAACCCTGTTCCGCCTGGGCCGGCGTCTCCTGCACCGGCGGCCGCGTCACGGCCATCCGGGCCGGCAACTGCAGCCTCTCCGGCTCCCTACCCTCCGCCGTTCGCAGTCTCACCGCCCTGACCCGCCTCGAGCTCCAGCAGAACAGCCTCTCGGGACCCCTCCCCTCCCTTGCCGGCCTCGCCGCCCTCCAGGTCCTCCTCCTCCACGGCAACAGCTTCTCCTCCCTTCCGGCCGACTTCTTCACCGGCCTCACCTCACTCGAGTCCGCCTTCATTGACAACAACCCCCTCGCCCCCTGGTCCCTTCCGGACTCCCTCCGCGACGCCGCCGCCCTCGTCAACTTCTCCGCCAACTTCGCACGCGTCTCCGGCCCCCTCCCCGCCTTCCTCGGCACCGCCTTCCCCGCCCTCGACCACCTCGGCCTCGCCTTCAACCTCCTCTCGGGCCCAGTCCCCGCCGCCTTTGCCGCTACCCCGCTCCGCTCCCTCTGGCTCAACAACCAGCAGGGCGCCGCCCGCTTCTCCGGCAGCATCTCCTTCGTCGAGAACATGACCGCCCTTGAGGAGCTCTGGCTCCACTCCAACGACTTCTCCGGCCCGCTGCCGGACTTCTCCCAGCTCACCCGCCTGCGCGACCTCCAGCTCAGGGACAACCGCCTCACCGGCGTCGTCCCCAGGTCCTTGACCCAGCTCCCGTCGCTGAGCAACGTTACCCTCACCAATAATCTGCTGCAGGGGCCCGTGCCCGTCTTCCCGAGCTCGGTGAAGGAAGTCAACGTAGACCCCAAAGGCGAGCGCTTTTGCCTTCCGAATCCCGGCGACTGCGATCCCCGCGTGACAGTCTTGCTATCTGTTGTGAAAGACTTCGGCTATCCTGCTAGGTTTGCCGAGAATTGGGTGGGTAATGAGCCCTGCGGGTGGTTGGGGATCAGCTGTGACGACGGTGGCAACATCACGGTGATCAACCTTCAGAAGATGGGTCTGAATGGGACGATATCGCCGGACTTTGGATCGATTGCATCACTGCAGCGGCTGCTGCTGTCGAACAACAACCTCACCGGGACAATTCCAGCTTCACTCGCAAGCTTACCATCTCTCAGGCAATTGGATGTGTCGAACAACAACTTATGGGGGCAAATTCCGAGCTTTAGCAAGAATGTATTGGTGAACACTGCAGGGAATCAGAACATTGGGAAGGATTTGACCGGTTATAGCAATTCAAATCCAAATGTGTTATCTGATGCAAGTAGCAGCCACAATGGCCATCCTTCCTCTGTTCCTGTGAGTGTTATTGTAGTTTCAGTGATTGCTGTGGTGGTCGGAATTAGTCTTGCTGTGGTGTTGGGTTTCTGCTACTACAAGAGAAAGCTGCAACAGCGCAGCAGAGTTCAGAGTCCAAACACGACCGTGATACTCCCACGGCATTCGCGATCCGACCCAGACACGATTAAGATCACGGTCGCAGGATCGAGCGTTGATGATGGCACGACTTTGGGCAATGTCCATGTTGTGGAGACTGGGAACATGGTGATCTCGATTCAAGTCCTTAGGAATGTGACCAACAATTTCAGCGAGGAGAACATATTAGGTCGTGGTGGATTTGGAACAGTGTACAAGGGTGAGCTGCATGATGGCACCAAGATTGCAGTCAAGAGGATGGATGCAGGTGTGATGGGGACAAAGGGCCTAAATGAGTTCAAATCAGAAATCTCAGTTCTCACAAAGGTCAGGCATCGGAATTTGGTGTCTCTGCTTGGGTACTGCTTGGATGCAAACGAGAGGCTTTTGGTCTATGAATACATGCCTCAAGGGACGCTAAGTTGCCATCTTTTCGAATGGAAGGAATCGGGGTTGAAGCCATTGGAATGGAAGAAGAGACTAAGTATCGCATTGGATGTGGCAAGGGGGGTGGAGTATTTACACAGTTTGGCACAACAGAGCTTTATCCACAGGGATCTGAAGCCTTCTAACATTCTTCTTGGGGATGATATGAAGGCTAAGGTTGCGGACTTTGGACTCGTTCGACTTGCGCCAGATGAGAAAGGCTGCTCTGTCCAGACGAGAGTCGCGGGGACATTCGGTTATCTTGCGCCGGAGTATGCAGGTAATCCTTACTTCTAGAGTTACATGGAGGAGCATGACGAGGAATTTGCACCTATCTTTAATGAACTCCTATAAGTTTTATGCTACTCATTATGTTTTTGAACCTGAAAAAAATGAGAAGAATGTTGGTATAATCCATGTTTGCTATTTGGTCAATTATTTCTAAACATTATGTACAAAACATTACTCAAACGAAGAGCATCACCCTGAATCTGAAGGTTGTGGTGTGGTCGACTTAAGAGCATTAGTCGCACATCATGTTCTTCTATTAGATGAACAAACTAGTTTAGAAAATTTGAGAGAGCACTTGTATTTCGTATGTGTCGTTAACAATCAGATTATGGTGCTGTAGGTATTATTGATGGTTATTTTGCCCACAGAGTTAAGCCGATGAAATAGAAAAAGTTCTAATAGTACATGCATTCTGCATGTTGTTTCATGCATTGATAGAGCTTCTCTTAGTTTTTGGCCACATCAAACTAATATTTTCTTTTGTTACAACACATTAAGTGCATCATCTATTACATGTTTCTCAATCATGGACAAGAAAAAAGTATTTGCATGGACAAGAATTGACAAACCTTCATTTTACTTTATGTCTTGGCCTTTTAGATTCTTCACCTTGTGGTCAGGTTCGGTCATTCATGTGTAAAGATTCATCAAATTAACTGCGATTAGCATCTCATACAGGTCTAAGTTACCATGGTTTTCCTATTCTTGTGTCGGTCGAAAACATGAAATGTTACTGATCCTCCTAACTCATTTGCAGTTACTGGGCGTGTGACCACAAAGGTTGATGTGTTTAGCTTTGGAGTGATACTGATGGAGCTGATCACTGGTAGAAAGGCGCTGGATGAGAGCCAACCCGAGGAGAATGTGCACTTGGTGACGTGGTTTTGGAGGATGCTGCTTAACAAGGATGCATTTCACAAGGCCATCGATCCCACCATCGACCTCGATGAGGATACCTCAGCTAGCATCAGCACTGTTGCGGAGCTCGCTGGCCACTGCTGTGCTCGAGAGCCTCACCAAAGGCCGGACATGAGTCACGCAGTCAATGTTCTCTCGTCACTCGCAGAGCTCTGGAAGCCTTCAGATCCAGACTCAGAGGAAAGCTACGGCATCGACCTCGACATGACACTTCCGCAAGCACTAGAGAAATGGCAGGCATTGGAGGACCGCAGCCATGTGGATGGAGCCACGACCTCATTCCTCGCTAGCTTGGACAACACCCGCACCAGCATTCCGACAGGGCCACCAGGCTTTGCGGATGCTTTCACTTCGGCTGATGGAAGATGAGAGAGAAATGAGTTGTACAAGAAACTCAAGTTTCAACCAAAGGTTTGTCCATTCACTTTGTTTCTTCTTTGGCTATGATTTGTTCCTTTTCTTTTTTCCTTCTTTAATCATGTATTGTGATTTTTAGCAGAACCACCCAGAAGAATATACCAAGATATGTTTTGATTTTTGGCTAGACAAGTTGGATGAATGGATAGAAATAATGATATTGCATGTAACAGAACCAACATGTCTCACTCTACAAACAATGATGTATTGTTGAAGAGGATTATACCATGCAGATTGAGAGAGGTTAATTCTTCCCCTCATTCTCATGATTCCTGTGCGAATGATAATAGTTATTCATGATATGAGCCACACCTGAGGCAAACTTGTGTTGCATTAGTCTGTGTGTGCACCCAAAACTCAAGCTGTAGCTGATGACATCAACATAACTCGATCATCTCATCAGGCTTGTCGCCAATTGTTTCTTACATACATACGATATATATATATATATATATATATATATATATATATATATATATATTATATATATATATATATGTATGATGTATGTGTATGTGTATGTGTATGTGTATGTGTATGTGTATGTGTATGTGTATGTGTATGTGTATGTGTATGTGTATGTGTTTGTATGTATGTATGTATATGTATGTATATGTATATGTATATGTATATGTATATGTATATGTATAT